TGAGACGTGTGTTAAATGTCTGAGTTTCCCCAGCAGGGGGCAGTGCTGCCACATTACTGCAGCCAGCAAGCACTCAACGCTTTTATGGTTTTTTATATTCTGGTTGCATCCTTTTGTGTTTTAGTTGGATTTTGGTTTGTAAAGCACTTTGTGCTGCACTATTGCAAATTGTTTTCTATTTCAAGCTGCATTTTAAAGGGGTAGGAATATGTGTGCTCTGTTTTATAGAATAATTAAATACCTATGTTACCTTCAGTTATCAAAATACTATATCTCAAATATGACAAACAAAATCTTACTTCCTTATTTAACGCCTTGAAATTGTCCTTTTGAATTTAATTCAGATTAACTTGTTTATTTGCTGGAGTTACAAGTAACTCTTTGTTTTAGTCCTTTTAATTTTGAGTGTTTGTAAAACCTTGTTTTTCCCTGATGCAGTAGAGTCTCTGGGTGGGCAGCTCCAGGCCTCGAGGGCCGGTGTCCTGTCACTTTAAGATGCGTTTCTACTTCAACACACCTGGCGGTTGGAGTTGGTGCTGGAGATGATGGAGAGGCTGGAGCTGAGATGGTGGAGTCCTCTAGTCATAAAGAAAGTTTCAGCTGCTTTGTTTGCTCCTTCAGATGAAACAACATAGATATGAAATTATGTTAGAGGAACAAAACACAAGTAGCATTCAGTTGAAGATTAGAGGAGCAAAGCACCAGCAGCTTAGTGTTTGGTTGTAAGATCTGTGGACATTGGGACAACAGAGCTGTGGGGTTGGTGGTCCTGTTCTGGGCCAAGTTCCAGTCCAGGCCTGGAAAAAACATTTCACAAAATAAAAAGAGGATCTCACAAAAGAGAAGTTGTTTCACAACCGTACTTCCACTAGCTTATTGAGTCATTCCTTTGCTCATTAAATATTTTAGCAAATCGATTGCACAATGCATGTGAAACATTTTTGTACTGTTCATTGTCTCCTCCCTTGGGTCAAATGAAACATTTCCATTTAAGGATGTGAACTCAGGTCAAATACTCATTAGATAAAAGAAGAGAACGAAAGAGAGAGAGAAAGAGAGAGAGAAAGAGAGAGAGAGAGAGAGAAAGAGAGAGAGAGATGCTTCCATGCTTAAAACATGCTTCCTTTATGATTTATCCAAAACATGAAGGAAGCAGGACTGGAATTTGCCACAATGCATATTGACAAGCCACAAAACTTCTGGGAAAATGTTCTTTTGTCAAATGAAACAAAACTTTATGACCACAAACTCAAAATGAAGAGTGAAAACTCTGTCCCACTGAGAAACATGGAGGAGTCTTGGCTATGTTCTGGGCTGCTTTGCTGCATCTTTAATCTGTTCAGGATACAATAAAATCTCAAGACCATAAAAGGCCTTAGGGACAGAAATGTTCTTCCTGGTGTCAGAAAGCTTGACCTCCGTCACAATCAAAGGCCTTCCAGCAGGATAACGACCTGAAACATGCAGCCAAAAACACGCAAAAGCAAAACAACGGACTTTTCTGCAAATGCTACTGAACATCTGAGGACAAACCGAAAAACAAACTTCAAACCTGAAAGCAGTTTGGCCTGAATACTTGTGGACAGTTACTCTGTCAGTGTTTCATAACCTGGGGTTGCCAACAACTGTGTGCATGTGCATGAATAACAATAACAGACTTTAAAAAAACAGGAATGTTTTCACTCTGTAACTTAGAAGAAATTTAATTTACTCTCTGAGGAAGAAACAAAACACTTCATGTTCCATAAGTGATTGTTGATCATAGTATGCAATTTGCATACGATCACCCCTTCTTTAATGTTTCAGTTTCCTCCTTTAAGATGTGATGTTAAGATAAATGTCTATAAAAGCCGACTTACCGTTTCTGTATCTGACCTGAAACTTCCTGATTCAGAGCTCAGAGTGAGAGGCTGATTCTTTTCTGCAAGCCCTTTTTGCTTAACCTCGTCCTGTTTTTCTGGTTCTTGGTTGTACTTTGATTTTGTATGTTTCTTTTTTCAGGAGGTGATAATTATCTCCCAGTGACCTGCAGCCATGAGGATCCTGCCTCTGCCTCTGCTTCTCTGTGGCTTGATGCTTCTGAGCAGCGTTAATGGTGAGTATTCTGTCAGTAAGTGTGAGAAGCAACAATCCTTTGAGTTGTGCAACTAAAATTATTTGACTGAAGAAAATGAATGTCATTTTTAACATTAAAAATTTCCATCATTTATAGTTCCTGAGACTCTATATTTCTATATTATTGGTTCACTTTCTTTTCAGGATTTTCTTACACCGAGTCAAAAGTACTATAGTACTGCAGTGTGAAAATTAGAACTTTTATGCCATATTAGTGAAGATTAGTTTGATAATTTTCAGGGCAGTATTCACTATGAGATAAATGGTGTCATAGATAATGTTTTTTATATTTTTTCCCACAAAGAGATCAATGGACATAGAACTTACTGCCCTCATGGTTGGCGTCTGATCCATGGACGCTGTTTCAAGTATGTCCCGAGACGTATGACTTGGATCAAAGCTGAGGTACGACTGGACTATGACTCATGTTTATATTCTTTAATGTTGCATCTTCCTAAATAAAAAGCAGATAATTATATTCACAATTGTTTACTCTTCTTTCTTCCGATTGATTGGCAGAGAAATTGCATTTCCATGGGAGGAAACCTTGCATCTGTGCACAGTTCTGATGAATACCATGGGATTCAGGGGCTCATTTTGCAGGTCACACATGAGATGAGAGAAGCGTGGATCGGCGGCACTGATGCAGCTGAGGTTAGCATTACCCAGTATTACTCTATTCATCAAAACCTCCTCAACACAGACTCTAAGAGGTTTTCTCTTGATGCGTCTTGCAGGAAAATCATTGGCATTGGTCTGATGGGACGCTGATGATGTTTACAACTGGTGTCCCGGAGAACCCAACAATGCTGCTTATCGCCACTGCATGCAATGAATGACGCAGGTAAAACTGTTCTTTCTTTTAAGCACGATAAAGTCACTTCTTATAGATTTCTGATCACATGCAAAAACATAAAATAAATAAAGATATATTTTATTTTTAGTGGTGGAAAGTTTTTTCAGTTTGAATGCCCCTGTTACTTTTGAAAAGCTTCAGGCTTTTTTTGGTCTAAAACTGTTTTCTGTCTTTTTCTCTTACAGGAGAAAAGTGCTGGGACGATTACACATGTACGGTCCGCCTACCCTCTGTCTGCGTTTTGAAGAAATGAAGCAGGGCTGAGCTGAAGACATGAAGAATCTTCCTCATTTCACGTCTTTTATTTTCCATCTATGCTGCTTGACGGATGACGCGACGCAGCACATCGACAGAGGAACTCTGTCTTGCTTCTCATGCGATCAGAACAAATGTACTGTAACGTAACTCCTTCATGTACTTTCTTGCTGATTGAACTTTCATTCTTGTTCTTTGCAAAATTAAATGGCAGGCATTAAAATATGCTGGTCTGGATGTGTTTGTGTTTGGTGTGTAAAATGTTTTATTAGTTTCAGCAGGCTGGGTTCTCAGCTGCAGCTCAATCAAGTTAACTTTTTTTTATTGTACATTTTAGCAACAAAGCAGATCAAAGTGCTTTACATTATGAAACCATAACACAATGAGCAAACACTGTAAAAGGTTTGAGGCACATTTAGTTGTTTCTACTAACTTCTAGACTATAAATCAAATAAATCTTGCAAATTTGACATTTTGAATTGAAATGTGTGTTTGTAAAAAACAAAAAAAAAAGACTCATTAAAATGTCATTGTGAGGCTAATGCAATCAATCTGAAAGTTGAGTTTAAACCTTTACACAAAACATGGACCAGTTCTGTAGCAGTGAAGGATCTGGGATGGACTAAACCAAAAAACTTTTGTTTGAATTATTTAGTTTTACTCCTTTAGGTTTCACAAGAAAAGAAAAGAAAATTTTAAGGATGGATAAAATTGGTTTGGCTGTTAAAGACTAATTTTATTTGAAAAAGGGCAAAAATAACTTGTTGCTTTGAGGAGATTACTGACCACTGAACTGCCCGTACAGGTGCGCCTCTACTGGTGCAGCAAAATATTTTTTGCAATTCAGATCATAGATTCTGTTCTTCAGTGCATTGGATAAAAATGTTGAATGTAGCAGTTATAGGAACAATAAACTGGGATTCGGGAGGGACTGTGGCCAGTCAGAAACACAGAATGCAGAATTTTTTTTTTTTTTTTACTTTGTTCAAACAATAAATTCTTCCGTCTTGTATGAAACTAAAATCCAGTTTCTCTCCTGATTATTAAGCCTGCAGTATGTAATTTCTGAAATTTTTCTATATTTTAAAAAAATATCACCGTGTTGTGAGATTTTCATATGAGACAGATAATCGTAAAGACATTGAACTCCCCCACGACCTCCCAGTGTTACTACCGTTGTCTGCAAAAAGCACCAAAAACAACCAATCAGAGCCAGGAGGCGGGTCTTAGCGCTGTCAATCAACCTCCTTTACACTGATCTGAATGAAAATGGTGGAAAAATAACTTCCTACAGAGGAAAACCATTCTACTATCATCGATGTTCAGGCTAACTTAGTAAATGGTCAAAGTTGAAAAGGTCAACTATAATATTAATATATTGTTTCCTAGAAGAGTGTAACGATAAAGCAAACTCAGCCAGAACCCAAAACGCAGCCAACACAGAAGTGAGTTTCACCAGATGTTTTAATGACAAAATAATAGTATAGACGGGGCTGAACGGGGTGGGATGAGACGAGCGGATAAGGGAGGAGGAATCCACAGGGGACAGGGATCCAGCCAGGGGTGGGACCAAGTAGGAAGAATGGACTACGGAAAGTCTTGGGGGCTCAGGGAACAAACGGACGACAGGGGCAAAATCCACCAACCCGAGACAGAGTAGTGAGACGATCTGGGGTCATGCACGGTAGAGCCACAGGCAAAGATAATCCAGCAAACAGCAAGCAGGAGGCAGGGTCAGCAACAGGCAGGGTTCTTCAACAGGAGGTCCGAAAACTTGCAGCAGCCGAGGGACAAGGCAGAATCTGTGGTCAAGGACAGGCAGGATCAGAAAACCACAAAACTCTTCGAAACATGAAACAATGGCTTGAAAGCTGTGACTAGAGCAACAGACGATCTCGCACTGAGCAGGTGAAAAGCAGCACAGTGCAGGTGAGAGTGATGAGCATTCAGCACAGAGGGTGGAGCAGAAATGCTGAAGTCATGACAAAGACTGAATGAAAGTGGGCTAATGGAAGTACAAAAAGCTAAAAAAAAAAAAAATTCAAAGACTGAAATGACATTGATACGGTTATTGTGAAACCAACATTTACTGTATTGTTAAATCTCACCTGTATAAATAGCTGATTATTTTTAGTTGAAGCTAAACGAAGATTGCTAAGTTATTTTAAGAATACAAAAGTGGTGATGAGCAAATTTGAACAAACTTAAAAAAGAACCAATATTAAAGATAATCTGACTGAAGACTTCCACTGTATTCACTTTATGTTGAAGTCATCATGTTAAATACACACTGGGACATCTGCTTAGGATGTTTTTAATGGGTATTTATTATATGCTTTAATTTTTCAGGTTTGACATTATGAATTTTAGTTGAAACAGTTTTTTCCTGTTCTAAACTAATTCATTCTTTAGAAACAAAGGCAACAATAACTGGATGCTTTAACCAGGTTATTGATCAGTGAACTGCTCCCTCTAGTGGTTCAGAAAAGTTTTTATACTTTTATATCATCCATTTGATCTTAATTTAAAAGATAACAGCTAAGAAATGAACAATTTGATATATTGCTGTAATATCAACACCCTAAAGCATAAATCGATGTTTATCAAACTTGAGTATTTATTCTAAATTATTAGAATTATATATAAAATTTTGTTCTAATTATTAAATGAGAGAAGTTGTAAACTCATAGCAACAAAGTTATTACTCTCAATGCAGTAGGCAGCTTTTATAAAAATGTGGGACATCAACTTAACAAATATTTTATAAAAGTTTCCTACTGTAGTTTTATTAAGTTTAATGTGTTACAGACGTCCTATCTGTTCTAAATAAAGGGGATAATGACAGGCTGATGATTTGTTGAGGCAAGGCAGGATGGTTCATGCTGCCCCATTTATTCACAAGCTAATTAATTACAGTGATTTATTTTCCATGAAAGGAAAAACAAAGCAAAGCAAGAATCCATGTCATAAAAATAATATACTAAAATACACAATCAAGGCAAAAACCTCAAAACAAACTCATTTGTCAGTTTGTTTGATCAAAAGTTTTAATAAACACAAATGTTTAATGTGTAAACCAGAGTTCTTGTTTTGCCATTATTTCCAGATAACGTCTCTTATCAATCAAGGAAATGTGATTTATTTCCCTGTGGAAGGATTTCCCTTTTCCCCAAGGTCAGACACGACGTTCTGCAGGATGGTCATAAACTCCTCTTCTTGTTTTATATCAATATTCAGACATAAGCAGTTAAACTGTAAACGTCCTGGTTGCAATGCAGACTTAGAAAATCTAAAGTTTGTATTTGATCATGCAGAAAAGATTATTCTGGTTTGATCCTGACATTTCAGAGGAATGTGAGACATTCACAGAAACTCCTGTTTAAAATACATATAAAGCAACATTTTATGTTTTTGTTCGATGTTTTTGTTAAGTTGGCCTTTTATAATGACTGTATGATGATATGCATCAACATTGTTGCATTCTGTTGTGTTGTGTGACTGAGCTGAAATCAAAATGCTAAATATTTCATTAAGGTTGCATGTTAATGCTACTTTAATGATATAATTTAAAATTAAACAATGGAACATTTATGTTCTTCAAAAATAACGAGAACTTTATTGACTTGCAAAATGTGCTAAACGTGACTCGCAGATGCAATAACTGTTTTTGTTTTCCATGTAAACTGTCCATTTTATGAGTTATCAGGGAATCAACAGTTATTTAAAGATATGAATCATTTGTAAATGTATAAAATATATACCAACAAACAATTGATACTAATTTAGAAAGAGAAAAAATGTACTTCCTGCTTCCAGGTGTTGCAAGTTTTATGAATAAAGTTCCATATTGTGATAATGTTCAGTTAGTTTGAATCATGACCCTTTTTATGAGGATTAAACATTTGCAGTCCCTACGTGTCAATCTGGGTGTGACATTAATTAGACAATCAGTGGCTCCAGTTAATGGAGATCTTAGCAGTGTGCATGTATTATTAAACATTACTACACTTTGATTCAATGCAAATTGTCACTGATCAAGTAAAAATGACAAGATCACCTCTGAAAAATAAAGTGTTGCAATATAAAAGTTTGCACAAGGCACGTTTAAAACCACATTTGGACTTTGATAACTGATAGATGTAAACAATGTTTGTTCAAAAGATAAGAAATCAAGAGGGGGATATTTTTCAGAAATTCAGACGCCAGCTTCCTTGTTTTGAGGCTGGAAGAAACAGAATATAAGAGCCGCTGTGTTTCTGGTGCAGCGCATTCAACCTGCAGACCGACTGTAAACGTGGAAACTTCCTGTGGTGTGATTGGTCGAAATTATTATCTCTTTACTGTCTTCAACCTGCATCATCAACGCCATGATGTGTCTCCTGCTGCTTCTTTGTGCCTTGTTGCCTTTGAGTCAACCTGCTGGTTTGTATGCATATTATTACTACTGCTTCACCAATGTAAATATTATTCTCACCTTTAATCTAATGTTAAATTATGATATTTTTATATCTGGTATAATTCTGTAATTCATTGCTGTGTTTAATGCAGTGCTTCCAGTTGCTGTGGATGGGGCTGAGAGCCATGAGGCTCTTCCAGAAGGTGAGGCTGTATTTCATCAGATTCATTATTTTTTATGTTTTTTGAAACAGCTTCCAGATGTATTTCTAAACATCTGTCTTTCTGACTACATCCAGTGTTAGAAACAGGCCTTCTTGCTGCTGATGTTTTCATCCAGAGTAGTTTGATGAAGTGCTTTAATTAGCGACTCTTCTCTGTTTTAATATAAACAGTGAAAAACATATTTCAGATGGATAAACCGATACGCAGATCGGTTTATCCATCTGCGTTGCAAATTCGACTTTTTCTGCCTTTTGAACTAAGTGCTTTATGCTTGTATTGTACAACATTTATGGATTCTGTTTGGCTCTGATGGGTTTTGTTTGCTACACCCAGAGCAGTTATTGTGAACATAATGCCAACAAAACAGGCTAGAATAAAATTTTAACAGAAGATTTTAGGAGACAGAATAGCAAATCAGACACGTTTTGTGAAGTAGACCCAATACTGAGCATAAACACTAAAATACTGTGATTTTTAGTTCATATTTTTCCTTGTACGTATTATTAATGTTAAAAATTGAATTATATCCAGACACCAGAGAAAATCCTGAGACTGAGGACATTTTTGCAGAAGGTAAGTCTACGTTTGCCAATTATAAGCATTACATTCTGAATAAACCAACAAAATGAATTTACCATTCAAACTTTGCCAGATCATTTGACTCTTCATGAAGAGGAACCTGGAAACTGGACAGATGCAGAAGGTTGGTGCTTTTTTTCTTCTGCTTCATTAAAAAACACAGTGATTTTCATCCTCTTCTCCTCGTGTTTTTTGCAGAACCAACCTTTGAACCTGTGGATGAGGAAGCTTACCTGAAGGGTGAGTTTACTTTCCTGATAATGTGGGTTAAAGTTTTGTTTTGCAGCAAGAGGAACAATTTAGTTTCAACCAAGACACCTGAATTCAGAAAGTTCAGCTTCCTTCCTGAAGAAAGGCTCTCTAGCAAGTGAATAACTTAAATAACTAAAATCATCAAAAATAAATAACAATAAAACAATCACTAGTCTTTTCATTAGCCCTAATCCTGATGTTGGTTTTTAAACATCTGAATGTTGCAGAGTGGCGACTAAATCAGACTGAGACGTTTCCTCAGGGACACGGTGAAGCAAACTTAAATATGAAATCAGTTTTTTAACACAGTTCAGGTTCAGTTTTTGTATCCATGCTTATTTTTATGTCTTTTATTGCATGAAATATTCCCATGCATTTATATCAGAAAGCAATGATTTGTTGATTTTATTAAGACTGGATGAATTTTTTCCAGTTCCCGGCTGAGTTGCTTTTTCCTCGACGTTTTTGTCCCAGCAGTGCATAATTAAAACTACCAGCTGAATATTAGAAATAATTTACCTGGGACTTTGATTGTTTGTTTTAAGCTCTGAATGGAACAGTCCAACGTTCAGGATCCTGTTCTTCTGGCTGGACCCGGGTCAAAGGTCGCTGCTACCACGTCTTTCCATTCGCTGCCACTTGGCACAGAGCTCAGGTGACCTTTGATTAACTTCACTTGTATTTTCTCACCAACCATCTCCTTCTTGCATTAGTGTAACTGGTCTCCTCTTGTCCACTGCAGTCGAACTGCAGGTCCATACTTGCACACCTTGCATCAGTCCATGACTACGAGGTGAATAATCAGCTTGTGAGGATGATAATAGCTGCAGGCCGGGGGCGATCTGCAGTCTGGATTGGAGGCAATGACATACAATGGGTAATTTCACATGTGCACCTTATGTGTCAGTCCTTCAGAAAAAATACATTTAAGGTAAAGCTCAGACTGCTTCACCTTCCAGGATGGCCGCTGGCGCTGGGTGGACGGAAGGCCTTTTCGCTATAGAAACTGGTGTCGATTCGAACCCAACAACTTCTTTGATCAGGACTGTTTGCAGATGAACTTCAGTCGTAAGTGAAATGATCCCATCTAAGTGACGCTAATTGTAAATCAATCAATCAATCAATCAATTAAATTTCAAAGTGCTTTACATCAAAAACACAAAACACAAAGTCATGTAACATAGAATAAAGACTAGCCTCAGTCCGGTTCTTCACGTAGGATTCTAATTCCGAGGACAGAAAGTTTTACTCACAGAGAGAGATGAGCACCACTCACTCTTGTATGCACACACACACACACACACACACACACACACACACACACACACACACACACACACACACACACACACACACACACACACACACACACACAACAGCAATGACACAGCAATACACAACAAACAATTTCCTATCAGTGCGAGGATTCTTCCTGATGGGAAGTCCTCATAAAAAGAGGGGCTCTAAAAACACCCGTCTTGTAGATTTTAGTTGAACCAACTGGATTCAACACCTTCTGGGAATTTAGTCAAGGTGTTCTGACAAGGCCTCCAACCTGGGAGTTTAGCTGAGAACTATCAGCTGGGCCTCCAACCCTTTGGTACTTTAGTCAAAATACTATATGTCAAGGACACCAACCTAGGAAAAAAAACATTGTTACATATTACATTTCAAATACAGTTCTGAACAAGTGTGTTTTTAGTTGAGATTTAAAGGAAGTCGGGGTTTCCACTGTTTTACAGTTTTCTGGAAGTTTGTTCCAAATTTTTGGTGCATAGATGCTGAAGCTGCTTCTCCTCTTTTGGTTCTAATTGTAGAGATGATCAGGCTCTTACCACAAATTTACTGATTGTTTCTACATTTTAGATTTCAGATCTTTCTACAATTCAACATGTTTTTGTTTGTTTTCCTGCAGGGCACAGATGCTGGGACGATGCGCAGTGTTACTTTCAAAGACCATTTATCTGTGTCAGAAACTTCTGATGGCTATTTGATTAGAAATGATGCACTTTGTGTGTCAAAAACACAGAGGCGTTGGTGATCAATGTTGGTGTTTTTCTTACAGAGTGTCAAGACAATAACAAGGATAAAAAGTATGAATATCTGTATTTAAATACAGATATTAAAGACAAAAAAGAAACTCGTTTAAATGTATTTGTCAGATTGTTTGATCAAACGTTACAATAAATAAAAATGTTTAATGTGTAAACCAGTGTTACTTATTATTTCTGCATAACTATCACATAAAATCTGTTGTCAAAAAAGGAAATGTAATTTATTTATGTATGGCAGCCTTTTCCTTTTGCTCAACATCAGATATGAGGTGTTAAGGCTTTTACATTATGTTTTTACTTTCAACTTTAGAAGATCCTCCTCCTGTTTTATCTTGACAAAAATGATCTGAATAAAAACTCAAGTTTGATTTTATCATTTGAGATTAATCATATATATTCTCAGGCCACATCAACACATGATTAATACTTCATAGTTGCATGCTGTTGATTGTGACTGAGTGGAAAACAAAGTACCAGGAGATGTAAAATATTTAGTTTAGGTTGCATGTAAATGCAGCTTTTGGAGTGAATATTAAACATTGGGATAATTATGTGGTTCACAAATAATAGAATTAAAAAAAAACGTGTGACTTGAAAATGGGCATCTTCTAATAGTATATGAAATAATTATTTTTTTGCTTTTGACTACATGTCGATGTACCTCTGGGCAACTAAATCCCATATTGCCTACCGGTCTGCGTATCGGTGTATGAATGTGAGTTCGTTTGTGAATGTGACTCTAGTGTAAAGCGCTTTGAGTTCAGAACATTTACCATTTTTTATACCAATATATTCCATATTTTTCAACTGGTTATTTGTAAGACTGTAAAAAAAAGTGCAATGTTTTCAATTAGTATTAATGCTCTACATTATGTTGCGTTTGCAAATAAAATCATAAATAAATTGTATTGGCACATATCAGCTTGGGAAAAATACGAATGTGGTTTTGAGGCCCAGCTGGTTTATTCATATGGATCCATTTGCAACTTTTACCTGGAAAAAAAAACCTACTCAGCAAAGTTATTAAAATGCATGAAAAGTTTTCAAAAGAATGACCCATATCCAGTTCTTGCTACTCAAAACGTAAAAGCTATTAAACAAAATTACTTTTTTCTTTTCAGATTATCACCTGGAGTTTCCATTAACATTCAAACTACTCATTCCATTACTTTGGATATAGTAGTCCACCAATAAATATCAATTTTAAGTTGAAGCACAATGCATTTGTTGGAGCTCTGCAGCATTTTGTTCATGCTTTCAATTTCTATAATTTGCAAAAGTAAAAATAGAATTTGAATATTATTACAGGCATTTCCCAAACATCTGCACTATGTATCAGAAAAGGAACAATCAGTGAATTGTATAATATCCACTACGCCTCAGCATTCAGTGAGTCTTTCACTTCATATAATAACAAAACTTTCTTCAACCTGATCAAATCAATCAACACATCTCCAGAGTCTAAAAATCATGTAATTTGTTTTTTCAAAACATTGACGCACATTGTATGGTCATTATAAATGGTCAAACTATGAATATTTTACTGTGCTCCTAAAAGTACAATATGAAATTCATGAGATTTTGTTTTTTACATTTTATTGCAAAAAACAAATTGATGACTTTCTGCTGTTCTTGTTTCGCTTCCTGATTGTTTCTGATAAAAATCAAATTACACTCCATTTCTTTGTCTTAGCTAACACCAGATATACTTTTTTTTCTGGGAGTGACATAAACAGATCATTAAATAGACATAGATGTTCACATTGACACAGTTGAGCATAAAATTTAGAATTATGGAAGACCTGGTTGTTTTTCAATTAATTGCATTTAACCAAGAGGTTTGATTCTAAAAATGTTTCCATTTGGCCCAATTTGTGTTTTAAAACTGGCTTATTTTAATTTTTACATATAAAAAATACAGACACACAAATATTGCTGCTGGCATCTTATTTATTATCAGAGATGAATTGATTACAGGTAGCAAACTCTCGCCAATGATTTAATCAACTGGATTATATTTATTAGTAATCAAGTGAACTTTTGACTCATGTTTGAAGCTAAAAGTTGATGGTTGATTATAAGAAAAAGCTCTCATTATTTTTTGCTGGATGTTTGACCTGCAGATTTAAATGACAGGACGGATCTTCATGCTGATGCTCTTCAGGGAGTAATTAAATCCCTTCCATGCAGACCATTCCACTCCAACATCAGGGAGTGTGTTGTCAGCCCCGCATCGATAAACCCCGTTAGGGTTTGTATAGTGACAAGATTTGTACCAGAAAGCACCGAGATATGTTTTGGCACAGTTGCTGCTCATCTTATCCTGGTCTTTGTCAAAAGTGGTAAATTTCTGTTGGTCGTGAGGAAAGGCTGTCTCCTGCAGAAATAATAATAGGATACAAAAACTATATGAATAAAACAGACATTCAGTTGAAAGCTTGAATAGTGAAAAAAAATACAAATTCTGCGTGATCCAACATCAATAAAATTGTAATTTCAATATTTAACAAAAATGCTGACTTTGTGAAAAGTTTATAATGTTTTGTGAAAAATTATGAGTTATGCTAATCTCTTACTGGGATATTATTAATGAGATCAAATTAAATTTACTTTGTGCTGTTAACTACCAACATCAATCTTCCTGCTTCAGAACCATGAGAACAAACTCTGGATTTAGATATAACTGACACAACACTTTAATCCAATCAAGGTCTATTTCTCTTAATCCTGATTTGTCTAACTACAGTAAATTAGCGTTATTAATTATCATCATTATTATTAGGCCCGAGCAGCTAAGCGCTGCGAAGGCCTATTGTTTCTGTACTGTTTATTATTAGGCCCGAGCAGCTAAGCGCTGCGAAGGCCTATTGTTAGGCCCGAACAGCTAAGCGCTGCGAAGGCCTATTGTTTCTGTACTGTTTCTTATTAGGCCCGAGCAGCTAAGCGCTGCGAAGGCCTATTGTTTCTGTACTGTTTCTTATTAGGCCCGAGCAGCTAAGCGCTGCAAAGGCCTATTGTTTCTGTACTGTTTATTATTATTATTATTATTAGGCCCGAGCAGCTAAGCGCTGCGAAGGCCTATTTTTTTCCTACTGTTTCTTATTATTATTCTCCCTCCAAATGAATTGGCTTTTTGGGGGCTTTATCATATTCAAAACTCACCAAACTTGGCGGAGGCCTTAAGCCTGTTTCAAATTTACGTATTTTAAAGTCGACGCAACAATTGCAAAGAAATGGCTCAATAGCGCCACCTTGAATTTTCAAAGGACCCTTTGCTATTCACTTACTTCATCGTAGAGACATGAAATTTGGTACACTTGTAGAGATCCCCAAGATGCTCAAAATTTACAATTAATGTCATAGTGCAAGTATCACAGGAAGTCAGCCATTTTGGATTGAAGGTCAAATTTTCACCCCATTTTTGCCGTTTACAGCCTTCGTATTTGATCGAACTCCTCCTAGGATTTCCATTGATCGGCTTCAAACTCGGTCAGTCTGTTCATAAGGCATGTCCCATCTAAGTTATCAAAACTGTGAGTTTTTGAGTATGCTGAAGGGGGGTAAGCAGGGGTCAAAGTTCACCTACTCGCCATAAAAAATAAACTGCTATATCTCCTACACAGAAACTCACAGAGGCACCAAAGTTACTGTGATTGATCATCATCGGGTCTCCTACAATATCCTATGGTCAAGTGATGACATCACTTAGGCCACGCCCCCTGAGAACAGGAAGTGTAATGTTTTACTGTGGACGGTCGCTATCTGACCCCTTTGACCTCATCAACATGAAACTGTGCCCAGACACAGAAAACATGTTGGTGTATTGAGGATTCCAACCCCGACCACATTCGATGGAGCAGGTGGGCGTGGCGGCGTGGCGAAGTGACCTCTAACGCCATCGCCATACGTTTGGCTCTCAATTCCACATTTTCGGGCCCATCTGCTGCAAACTCACAAGGATGGATCGACATCACCTCCCCGACAGGAATCCATCACAATATTTGTGGGGCGTGGCCTAATTTCTCTATAGCGCCCCCTAGAACAATTTAAATGATCAGCCCCAAGCCATGCTTTAACCTACAATTACGAAACGTTGTACACGTGTGTACCTTGTCAGGACTTACAAAAAAGTCTCTTGGAGCCATGGTCGAAACCCCACAGGAAGACGGCCATTTTAGATTGAAGTTCAGATTTTGACCCCATTTTTGCCGTTTACAGCCTTCCTATTTGATCGAACTCCTCCTAGGGATTTCGATTGATCGGCTTCAAACTCGGTCAGTCTGCTCATAAGGCATGTCCCATCTAAAGTTATCAAAACGGTGAGTTTTTGAGAATGCTGAAGGGGGTTAGCAGGGGTCAAAGTTCACCTACTCCCCATAAAAAATCAACTGCTATATCTCCTACACAGAAACTCACAGAGGCACCAAAGTTTCTGTGATTGATCATCATCGGGTGTCCTACAATACCCTATGGTCGAATGATGACATCACTTAGGCCACGCCCCCTGAGAAAAGGAAGTGTCATGTTTTACTCTGAACGGTCGCTATCTGACCCCTTTGACCTCATCAACATGAAACTGTGCCCAGACACAGAAGACATGTTGGTGTATTGAGGATTCTAATCCCGACCAGCTACGATGGAGTAGGTGGGCGTGGCGGCGTGGCGAAGTGACCTCTAACGCCATCGTCATACGTTTGGCTCTCAATTCCACATTTTCGGGCCCAGCTGCTCCAAACTCACAAGGATGGATCCTCATCCACTCCCCGACAGGAATCCATCACAATATTTGGTGGGCGTGGCCTAATTTCTCTATAGCGCCCCCTAGAAAACTTTAAATGATCAGCCCCAAGCCATGCTTTAACCTACAATTACGAAACTTTGTACACATTTGTACCATGTCAGGACTTACAAAAAAGTCTCTTGGAGCCATGGTCTAAACCCCACAGGAAGTCGGCCATTTTAGATTGAAGTTCAAATTTTGACCCCATTTTTGCCATTTACAGCCTCCGTATTTGATCGAACTCCTCTTAGGTATTTCGATTGATCGGCTTCAAACTCGGTCAGTCTGCTCATAAGGCATGTCCCATCTAAAGTTATCAAAACAGTGAGTTTTTGAGAATGCTGAAGGGGTTAGCAGGGGTC